AAAAAAAAAAAAAAAAAAAAATTCTAACGAGGACATCAACCAGCTGGGCAGCGGCACCTTCCCAATTAAGGGACCGGACATTCCAAATGCATGCCTTCGAATAATAATCCTTATTGTCGTCATCAAAAGGGGGGTCTCTCATCCAAGGCTGGTGGTCATTTTTCATTCAAACCCAGCGCACAACACTAAGGAGGGGATGTTTCGAGTTTTAGCTTGCCTTCAAACGGATGTTCTTAGGCTACACAGAGAATACTTGATCGAAGACCGGAAGTCGTGAGCTGCTTGAGCCACATGTAAAAGAATCGTTTCTGCCCACTCCAAAGTGAATGGCAATCAGAGAACTTTCCTCACTTGCATGAACTTCTACACAGACTCCATCCTCCTTTTTTCACACTTGCGCATGGAAAACTGCAGAAATATTTGCCAGCACACATCCGTGATCCTGAATGCCTTCAACTGTTCATACAATATTAATTCATGGACCAAATATATTAGAAAATATATCACTTCCAATTGGTATGATGTCAGAGGAGGTCTTAGAGGCATGCACAAAAGTTTTAGTTACTTCTGGCAGCACTCGAAAAAATTCTAGGACGACTACAATGGAAGATCATTTGTTCACAATGTGGTTTTCTTCAGACCTACTTCGTAATTAAAATAACATCAATATTTGCAAAAAGGAATATTAAATAATCGAAGAGGTGAAACTGTTACTTTCAGCTGAAAATTACCTTTCATGCAACTGTCATTCCGATACTTAGGTCTCCAATTATTATTATCTTTTATTGTCGTGAGGGTAATTATTAAAAAAATATATATGATTTATTTTCTAAACAAAAAATTTAATTAATTAATTCGTTAAAATTACATTTCGAGGTTAACCGAATTTAACTATTAAAAGGAAAACACAGGACGCAGATTGTTCAATTAGTTCTGCGGTTATTCATTAATCCGTGTCAAATTGATCATTTCGTTCACTATGTCTCGGTGAGCATTCAAAGTTTCCCATATAAATTCATTACAAATATCGTTTTGAATAATTTAGTATATGTGATCTGGTCTACGAAAAGGGAGCTAACGTGCGAAAACTAGTTTTCTGAGAAACAGCTGTTAAAAATCTCATCTTCCATCCGAATCAACTAAAAAGTGAAAATTGATTTTTTGGATTTTTTTACACCTAAGCCCCCTTTCCGTAGACCAGGTCACATATATATTTTTACTTATTTATTTTAACTGAACACAAATAGATTGTAAATAATACAAAATCATTCAAATGTTAACAAAAAACAACTAAAGAAAGTAAATTAAATCGAAATGCAAATAAAAATGTTCATATTTAACAAAGAGCGTACATTCAAATAAAATACATATTAATATTGTTTACAATACATATTTGTCAAAATTGTTTGTTTAATTTTTGTGCTTCATATTCTGACCAACGTTCAGCGTAATTTTTATATACTCCATTATCTCAAACATTTTAAACGCTTTTTTGTGATAAACCATTGATGTCATTTTAATCAATCGTGTTTGTTTTTTCGTTAACGTAATTTGGTTTTAATAAACTTTGTTTCCGTCTTTTTTCGTAGCATTGACAATTTATTTTCTCTTTTCAAATCTTTTAAATAGATCCCAGCGTAATATGGTAGACATTGGTAAACGGGCGAGGTAAACGATGCAGAATAATTGTATCGCTTACTCCGGTCGATGAAAATTAACACGACGATGCCGAAGTTAACGAAGAATTCTTCGACGCCAGGGTCAATAGTGGAACAGAAAAAATTGCATATTCATTTTGCTTTATTTATAAAAGTGCATGTATGTATTGCGTTATGAAAATAGGTATTTATGTATAAAAAGGAATGTTTTTCTTTTAATTTTGTGGTTGAGTCTCTTTTCGTGGTTTTTTTCAAGCAACGAGACTTGAAGAAACGGCCTTTGGCGAGTCTGATGCTTTTTTGAATTTGGTGAGCATACTTCGATTCGGTGAAATCTTCTACTTTCACACATTCTACAAAAAACCGTATGAAGTTATAAATTTGAAGTTTTGCCGTTCACGAAAACTTAATAAATTGTAGCGTACTAAAGTGCTTAAGTTCTTTTAACGATTTTTTGGCCTTCACACCGAAATAATTACATTCCAGCTAAACCACAATTCACCGCATCCTCTTAAGAACCACTTTCACTTTAAAATAAATAAAAAATTCACTTTCTTCATTTTTAATTAGTTTTCTCATATGCCTTTCCGAGAACATTCTTTTATTTCTTTATTCAAAGTTTAAACACAAAAAAAAAGCAAAATTTTTAATTAAAATAGCAGCTTGCCTTAACACTTTGTGCAAATTTGCTTCAAATGCTTGACGATTTGACGAAATTATGAAAATATTTTCTTATAAATTTTATTCCATCAATTTGTAATTGTTGTTTATATATTGCATTGTAACTTGTTTCATGTACTTTCTTGATTGTAAATGTGAATTGAAAAAATAAAACAATTTAAGGCAATATTTCTTCTTAGTCAATTATTAATAACTTGCCTACAAAACATACCGCATTGACTAAACTGAGTGGCTGCTTAACGTATTATATTTTTATTTTTCTTTTTCATTTATTTATTAAAGATTACCTCAGTACATAATCTTCGAGGAATTCCGACCACACCAATGGCGAAGCATTTCCCAATGACACCCCGGTGCTTGCCAAACCACTCAATGAATCATTCGATGGTGATATTTTCACATCAGTTGTGGTTGCATTACATAATGCCAAATTTGCCAAGTTCACAACGATTGCCACAACCAACCATTTAGCGATTGATTGTAAACGAAAGCGTTTAATGTTCGTCACAACAGCACAATCATCATTCGTATGACTAGCCGTATTGGTGGATCTTAAGAATTCGTTGTCACTCCGTCTTCGCACGCATTTAACTTTCGTTTTCATTTTGATGTTTATCGTTTATTAAGTTGATAAAATCATTTACTTAATTTATTGGCAAAAATGGTTCAAATGAGACACTGTAAAATTGCATTGAAAATGTGCTTTTTCCGTATAAATTATTAGCTTCACTTATAAATCACAAATTTTTGTTAAATGAAGCACTCAATAAATTTTCGGCGCCGTGGGCAGTTCAATAGATCGGCGTATCCGTTCGCAACGCGTGTAAAAGTTCAACTGAAATCGAATTTTCAAAAATAATTTGAGTGTCTTCACAGCACGCAGAGATGTGAGCCACGAGCTACACCTTCATGCTTATGAAAATCCATTGGTCTTCAACTCCGGCAGTTAAGCACTATCATTGACATATACATACATACATATGTACATATTGACGTGGGTTTGTCCGGCGCTGTGAGCACTCAGCCTCAGAGCTCAGCTTTAGCCATTGGCAGTTGACACTCATCAAGGTTTTTTCATGTTGCTGTTGTTGCTGGCCCACTCCTAAACTATTTAAACTGCACGCATGCGCATTAAGACATCAGCCGAATACCTTTAAACTTTCTCCATTTACTCATTGCTCAGCCGACGCGCACAACGAACACTCAAACTAAACTCAAATACATTTAAAAATATATTTGCTTTATTCATACTTATGTAAATATATGTAGGCAAGTCGTATCAACTCTTTTGTAGTCAGAGACAAATTCCAATTGAATAATAATACTATAATATGTATTTGAATACAAAATATCTGATCTTTTTATCACTATTATTAAAATTGTGGAATACACTTAGTCATGTAAGCCATAAGAATCTTGATGAATCTTCGCATTCAAAACTGTAGAAAATGAAGTTGATGATTCCGAGTCATCAGAAAATGAACTCTTAACTAATGCGAACTGAAAATTTCAATTGTTTAAAAAATTAATATCAAATACATGATAAAAGAACCGAACCAAGTTATCGAATGGTAAATTTATTAACTAGATTTGGCTCTCTCTGATTATTACGCAGAGTCCATTAGGACATAACAAGAAAACTGAGAAATTTAATGAAAACGATGGCGAATATTGAATTCAAAGTTAATTAATTGAAGAACAAACACGATTATTGTCATAAACCTTGTTGGGAAATGCAGTTAAAAACTGCTTTTATTTCAAGGTAAACCGTTTGATGTCTAATAAGCTATTCACCCTCAGCAAATGCTGTGATAAGGTCAAAAATTCCACCGGGTGCCGGTTGTTGAAATTGCTGAATTATATCAAGGCGTTTGTCCTCATACCTTCGGACATCTAGGTGACCTAACGATAACTGAAAATAGTTTAGTCGTTACATGAGACTAAACTCTATGTTTCTGGCTTCACACAGGGCTGCTTTTAGCAGTCTCAAATACAGGGGAATTTTCCAATTTATTCATGTCTACTCTGAACAATGGTTTTGCTGTTCGAAAGTTTGTTTCTGTAAAAAACAATTTAGTTTCCTTAGTGGACTTTTCAAGTTCAAAGCAATTATTGAAATTTCATATCGAAAAAAAGAGAGCATATATACATACATATCGAATGCATTGATATAATATGTTCATTAAAAGTTTTGTTTTTAATATCTAATATATAATAATTAAAATACCCAAGTAATCACATTATTTTAATGAAAAGAAAATAATTCGTTTGCAAAACAACATCATTAACTCATTAACATAATTGTGAGCACAAAACTACTTGGCAGCATTGTTGTTGTACAACATACATATAACGGTAAATGCTTACACCAATCTTGGAGCTTTACCAATGACCAGGCATGAAACAGGAATGAGTTAATGGTAATGGATTGCGACATTTATAAAAAATAATTAACATGTCACTAATGCCTTGTGGTCGCTGGAGGCAAGTCGGTTAACGTATAACCATGTCAAACACATAGTTGGTTTTTCAGGCGGTGTCCAGTTGCTCGTATATATGTAAATGCATGCATACATAATACGTACATATACATACGTGACTTGAATTGCTTGTCGCACAAAGTAGTGAAATTTTTGGAAATGATATTAAAATTTATGTTCCTGTTGTATGAAGTATGAAGAATAGTATATAATTTTGTTAGGCAAACGGCATACCTTAATTAAGAGTGCAATTTGATTTTTAATCCATATGTGGCAATCAAAAGATACTCGATTTAATTTTACGTTTATATATTTTTGGTTATAATTATATCCTGATCGAATATATCAAAATAGAGAATTGGAGAATAGGAGAAAAGCAATGCTTCACTTCCACAAGAAGTGTTAGGGTGGAGCGAAGTGCAAAGAACAACCAAGAGGAGATCTTTTTCACAGTTTATACTATAATAAAATGTGACTTAGTGACGTTTTTTCAATGTCTGATTCGCAGCCAACTGTCAGTTAAGTATTGAATAAAAAAAAAGTTATTTACCGAAAGAAGGAGTCTTGGATAAGTTAACTAGAACTTAACTGATAGATGACTGCTAACCAGACATTAAGGAAACGGTCCTTAATGGATATTTTCTGGACTCTGCACCGGAGAAACTAAACAATTCCTGAGTGGCTTGATCAATTGCCTATCGACAATAAAACTTCTCGAAATCGATGAACGTTCAAATGAGTATCGACTTAAAGTGATATTGGATGATTGTAAAAAAAGTTGACCGGGGCAGCTGACATAAGTATGTGATTGACATATCGAACATAAATATTTTGGAAGAATGAAGACAGCACTCCCGATATTACAATAACTATTATATGAAATGTAATGAAACCGTGTTTTCCCAACTCAAATGTAATAATCTGGTAAAATATATTGGAAATAGCAACAGCTGGTACATTTCAGTCAATTTTCTATTTCTTTTTTAGCTAATTTGCAAATCGACGCTCGTCGTTCAATGTGTCAACGACCACTGACGTTTAAAGCTCGACAACATGGATGGCATTTAAATTAATTTCTTTTACATATTTCGTTATTATAGCCGACAGAAAGAAGCGGTTTTTATTTACCAAGTCTCTTGCGCATGTGCAGCAGTAAGACGGCGCTAAAATTAAACTAGCAATATATGCATACATATGTACTATAAGTGCATTTTATACTTGATATTTTGTAACATATATTGCATTCACACATATATGTACATACATACATATAATTTCTTTATTTTTATGTAAAATTTTTTAATTGTTATTTCCTACCTGCCGCTGAGACTACTGGGCTGCCCGTTAATGTAATTTATTCTGTTTTTTATTTTGTTTTCATAATACACCCATGGCACTTTCCGTTTTGCTTTTACCATTTAATATCAACGTTTGTAGGTTTGTATATGTGCATGGCGGTTGGGTTTTTGCAAACCTCTTCGACTTGACTATTGGCGTTATTGATAAATTTATGTATACGTTTTCGAATTTGTTGATACGTAATTTGATGTATTTTCATGGTATCTCAACTACACTGGTTTACAGCGAAAAACTTTTGTATTGACAATTGGTGTTTACATATAATTCGTGATCGCTAACAAATATACTTCAGCATTACTTTATCGAGCTCACTCTAACAGGTACCTCAAACTCACTGGTGATAAAAAAATAAGATAACTTTACAGTTATTTGTTTTTGAACGTGGTGTATTCCATAGACTTAAACGGTGCCTGTACACGATGAAAAAGGATACACTGAGCCCTCTCCAAAACATCGATTTATCGCATTTTGACCGAAAATGTGGGCTTACGAAAGGTGTGTGCACGGTTTGTTTCGCACAAATTGACTGACGACCCAAAATTGCTCAGAATCCAACATTCGAAAGACGATTATTTATTTAAAAATCACATATTAACCATTAACCACTTCCCGTATTCACCTGATATGGCACCGTGCGACTTCTTCCTTTTCGGAAAAATTAAAGTAAAGTGTTATGCAGCCATAGAGGCCATGCAAGGCTGCCGACGCACTACTCTCGCAAATGGTCACGGAGAGCRACTACGAGATGATCATCATAAGCGAGCAATACAAAAAGAAAGAGAKAGGTAACTGGCTAGAAGATAGCAGCTCAACCGCCGCTATATGGTTGCCACCAGGGAGTAACATCA